TTAATTTCAGAAGAATATCATCTAAAATCTTTAAGAAGATTTTTTAAGTATAAAATCTTCTACTTACGAGAATATAATTTTTTCGGTGTAGCGAACTTTAGGCCCGCAATTCAAATTCACGCTAGCTGCGCGTCATAAATTGCTGGCTGAGTAATCGATTATGAGATACAAACTTTCGCACACATGTCGACAATATGTTTGCGAAATATAACACTTTATCGACCTATTTATCATGTGTCCGCCAAATTCGGTTCGGCGCTATTTCGTCAGCGCCTGTCTTCGGGCGCGAAGAAAGAAACTCCGGTATTTCATTGCAGCTTGAAATTAATCGGCGCACGCCCAAGAGAGACCACGCTGCAACACATACCGTATCGTTCGAAAGTTACAGGACGACGTGCCTACCCGTCTCAAGGACGATACGTGCGCAAACATGCGCAATCGTCGAGTACTCCCGATCGGGTCATCGCAAAGTCGAGAAAATCAATCTCTTATTGACTCAGAGACAGAGCAAACGTATAATCTAACACGACTTGACGACTACTACTTTTTTGTCCAAAGTAATTCTCATCGTTATTCTTTAACCACAAATGTTAAAAAAACAGTGACAGCCACGAGAATTCAAAGGCGAGACGTTGAGAAAAAGATCTCATGTGTGCTAATTATTAATTATATTAATTCAAGCGAATTGGTCACACATTGGTCTATACAAATCTAAAATGTGTGAGAAGAACGGCTCATTAACTTTCCACGTATTATCATAAAAGTGTATATACATCGGATCCGCGTTCCCAACTCTCTTTCAATCGACTTGCCTGCGTCAAAGAATAATAGTTTTTTCTTTTTGTTTTTTTTTCTCGCGTGTAGTATCTGTCTTTTATAATGTATTCAGGAGACGCGGTAAGAGAGGGCCGCGCGGCGTTGTTTCCTGTGGGTCGTCGCTAGGTGTGGTTACACACGCCTGTCTTTTGTGAGCCGCGCGTTTTGCTCTCGGTTTGGTTCAAGGAGATCCAGAAGCGGCCGGCCGTATACAACGCGACGGCGAAACATTGCGCGCGCCGAGTTACGACGCTCTGAATCTGAATCTCCTCTCTCACGGTAGGCACGCCGCGCGGCGCGCTCCTGCCTCGCCCCTCGTATTCGGGTCAGCCGAGTAGTAGAAATTACGTAACACACGTGTGCGCGCGCGCCGAGGCGGTTCCCACCGCCGTGAGCCGCCTTACCGGAAGTCGAGACCACGTTTTGTCAGTAAGGACGCACGGTCAAGCCCCGCAAGGAAAACCACCGTTTCGCCACAATTATGTATGTAATACGTCAAATGTAAAACGTGATAGAGAATATTAAAATATCTTTTTTTACATATCGCATAAGAATATGACAAGTTTAAGAAATGCGCAAGTTTACGTGTATGTAGGTTACAACGTGTATGTAGGTGACAATGTTGTAATTTTCTTCTTATGTAAAATTTAACAGCAGCGTAAAATTCGCGTTTCTTGTTGAAACTTGTTCAAATTATCGAAGAAAATAGATTTTACGGTTATAAATGAAGAAAAATTGAATTATTTTTTTCGCAATATTTTAAAATTAGTTAGGGGGGTATCTCCGGGATCTCTCATATGTGAGATGCAAATCCAGCATCCCGTATGAATCAAAGAATTGAGATTTCAATTCTAAAAACACTCACTTGTAAAAATTTACAAGTTGAATTCGTTACATGTGTATATATATATTAGGTCTACCGGAAAGTTCTGTCCGTTTTTGGAATAAAACAAAATATAAATTTTTCTTACCGTCAATAAACTTTATTAAATAATATAATTGCCATTATTATTAATGATTTCTTGCCAGCGTGAGGGCAATTTGTATATCTCATTTTTGAAAAATTAAGAAAAATTTGTATTTTGTTTTATTCCAAAAACGGACAGAACTTTCCGGTAGACCTAATATATATATATTAGGGATGAGCATATGATATCGATATATCGACAATATGGATATAATTCTTTTGATATTTGATATTTTAGTATCGATATTCTGTTATTGATAATATCAAAAAGATATCGAGTATTTTATTTGATATTGAATATCGCGTTGTTTGATCGGAATTATTGAATATATATATAATATATATATTCAATAATTATTAATATTGACAATATCAAATAAAATTATCGATATCTTTTTGATATTATCAATAACAGAATATCGATACTAAAATATCAAATATCAAAAGAATTATATCCATATTG